CACATTATGGGACTGTTGACATTCATGGAATGGTAATAAGGATGCACATGGGCAGCAGGGAAGTACACCCCAGGGGAGGTAGTGTTTGAGGTTCTTCTCTTCAGTTGGTTGAATCGTGCCAAGCAGCTTGTATTCCTAAAATTATCATTAAATTACTAGGTTAGTATGTCCTTTACATGACAGGTGACCTGTAAGTGATTGGGGGGGCGCAGATTCATTGTTGCATGAAATAAGGCCTCCTCTGTATGTCTTTACCTGCTACTTGCTACCTGTACAGTGACTACAGTGCCGTCACTGACCTGAGACTTGTCGCTGGAAAACTTTTATCATGTGACCATATAACGCAGCATCCATTCATGTTATCATTTATGTGTAATATATATCGTGTTGCAGCGCCGCTCGTACGAATCCTGTAAACTGCTCGGCTCCTGGGTAGACGATCTTGTACAGAGAATCGGGTTCTTTTCCACATGGGCCAGTCATGTGATTCGTTGTGTACAGGAGAGGTGAGAGACTGAAGGCGGCGGCTCCCACAACGATGATGTCACATAATACTCAGATATAAATATATTGTACTGTGCTGTGTTTAGGTTTAGTCAGCAGCTCGGCCTGAAAAAGACATTCAAACATTCCAGACCAAACTCATCCCAAACTCCCGACACTCTTCCGGAGAACGGGTCGCACCTCACAGGAGAGCCAGGCTACTACTGGATCCCGGCGTTCTTCTTCCCGCAAGGTGAGCAGGTTCATGATTCACCAATATGGCGGATATTCAACAAAGAAGTAAAAAGCTTTCATTTGTCTTCACACCTTTGTATGGCTCCAGGTTATTTATTTATCTAGCTATATGTGTGTGTGTATATTATAAATATAGATTAGGGATGCACCAATACTGGTATCAGTTGCGATGCCGAGTATTGGGCCGAGTACTCGTACTCTCCCAAATGCTCCGATGCTTATCCCAATACTTCCGGTATCAGGAAGCCGGGCAGCTCGTCATTACACACTACCCAGCTTCCCGATTGGCCGGCACCATGCTCCCGTCACTTGTGACAAGAGAGCATGGAGCCGGCTTCCTGACCAATCAGGAAACCAGACAGCGTGTAATGCCGAGCTGCCCGGCTTCCCGATTGGTCAGAAGCTGGCCAATCATGAAGCCAGGTGCTGTAAAATGATGCAACAGGTTTCTGATTGGTTAGGAAGCCAACTTCCTGCTTCCTCGTCACCTCATGACGAGGGAGCATGGAGTCGGCTTCCCGGCCAATCAGGAAGCCGGGCACCGCGTCATTACACAGCGCCCGGCTTCCTGATTGGCCAGAAAGCCGGCTCAATGCTTTCTCATCACCTAGTGACTAGCAGCATTGGGACGCCTTCTCTGCTAATCGGGAAGACGGGTGGCGAGTCATTACACGCTGCCTGGCTTCCTGAATGGGACTTCCGGTACTTGGTGTCGGCGAGCACCGGAAAAAAAATATCGGTACTCTTACTCGATACCAAAATACCGGTATCGGTGCATCCCTGGTAACTAAAAAATCTCTAGCTCTCTCTTATTGGTTGCACTAACTCTTTATCTTGCTCAGGGTTCTTAACGGCCGTATTACAAAATTATGCACGAAAAAGAAGTGCGTCAGTGGACTCGCTCACCTTTATACACCGAGTGCAGCCTGTTGTGACTCTTTCCAGTCTGGATACAAATGGAATAACTAACATCACTGAGATGGCATTTAATGTAAGTAGACATCAGATAAATGTGCTGCATATTGACGGTCAGTCCCTGATCCAGTTCTAACCTCATGAAAGCATGTTCTGTTAGGTTCTATTATCCACATCATGTGCTATTTGCAGTGGGCTGTTGGTTCTGTAGATAAGAAGGATTACCTGTAGTGTTAAGGTGCCCACACACCTTACAATGTATCTGCAGATTTTCTGTGGTCAGATGGAAAAAGTGCAACAGATTGGCCCAGGTGGAGATTACTCCATCCACACTTTTTTAAACCCCTCTCTCCATCCTTTCTTTTTTCCCATCACATCTTTTTACTGGTCCGGTGATATCACTGCAGCTTCTTCTCCTCTTTCCAGTAGCTGAGGACTCTTCCAGGACTGAGCGACACTCACATATTGACCCGAGTCCTGTGAGCCCAGCCTGTGTGATGACCCCCTCCCCCATGTATACAACAGGCTGACAGGAATTGGATAGAATGAATTGGGTTTGTCTCTTCCAGGCTCATCACACAATTGTCCAGAAGGGTTCAGTTGTGATATGATCCAAAAGCCAGGCTGAGGATGACAGCACCGGATAAGTGAGTTGCTGGGTAAATCCACTGGAGGGGAGTTCTGATTGAAGGAAATGTTTGTAGGGAAAGAAAGAATAAATATCACAGGTTAGTCTTTAAACCAGCAGCAGCCGCGACAAAACGACGTCCATCCCGGGACACTAGTGCAAAAACTAAAGCAGCTTGTAGGTTGGACCCCGGGCTGGCCTGTAGTTTTTGTCAGTGTCCAATACTCCTCTAGGCGTCATTATTACCCTGAAAGGTTTGAGATTTCACACGTCCCTCAATTAATGAGAAATCAATATTAATACCTTATTTTTGCCAGTCAGTCCTAAATGCCGCAGTCGTGTCACATGACACCCCTCAGCATGTTCCTAGGAGTCCAGATTTGGGAGATTGAGCCATAACCTGCTGGGTGTCATTCAGTAGGGAGAGGGCCAGCGCTGGATCGGTGTGCAGGTGAGTCTGCAGCACCACAGAAGAGGAGAGTACAGCCACCAAATCTGGTGTATTTTATACAATGCTGGATGATCCAATTCAGAATGATTTTTGCCTAAGCTGGAATTGGGCTTCCAGGATTCCTTTAAGGATCTGACGGTACAATCTGCCATTAGCAGGGCTCTCGTCCACCTGAACAAGGAGTTCTGGTATTTGGGCTCTTTCTGGACAGCGCTCGGTGGAGCCATGATACACAAGTCTTGGAGGAGTGTGAACATCCGCAGAGATTCTACCCACTGCCACCAATCCATTTCATCCCGCACACGGTAAGTGGGACTGCGCGTTCTCTGTGCAAGGTCAAATCTGCATCCACTGTCTTCATAGAGACTCTTTCTTCAATATACAGATGGAAATGGCGTCTGGAAGCGGCTGCGCTGACGTACACAACACCTTCACCTATGAATGCCCATTATACAGAACCCCACAGCGGGCCGGAACTTTATCTTCTACTGGGCACTCCACAAATTTTGTAACCTCTGTGAATATACCAACAATGGCCAGACCAGAGCACTGGATACGAAGGGGGGTGGCCATGCTCTGCCAAACACCCGAGTGATGGAGAACTTTCAATGGCGTACATTTTGCTTTGTGGTCACGTCTGGGCGGTTTCCGGCCTCAAAAAAAAAAAAGTCTTTGCAACTGCTTGGTGTATCCAGCTTTATGTCTTGTCATGATCATAACCCACCACACCTTCTGTGCATCAGGATAACCACATGTGCATTACCTGCTGTTTGTACCTGTAGAAGGGCCTACAACCAAACAGTGCATTTTGTGCTTTACCCTTACCACCCTAAGACACAACGTCCTGTGTAGTTAAATCTTAAAACTCAATTCAAGTCCCTTAACAATACCGGACATCATTTGTGTATCACTCGGCTGTAGATCCTCCAATCATCTCTGAGTTGGTGGTGACACTGTCCTTCCTTCTGGAGGGGGGCTACTTTTGTTCCCCATGGTCCCTGTGTGTGCTGTAAAGTAGCCACCGCTCCACGCTCACTCCCGTGATGGACTACAATCTCAATACAAATAAGTAAACTAAATGTGAGATTGTAGTCCATCACTGGAGCGATCTTGGAGCAGTGAGCGCGCACACACTTCTAGAAGGAAGGACAGTGTCAGCACCAATTCAGAGATGATTTGAGGATCTACAGCCGATAATAAAAATGTATCTTATTTGTGTAATAGTTAAGATACTTGAATGTATTTTTAAGATTTAACTCCTTAGTGTCACTTGAAACATTTAAAAGAGCTGTTCCGATCTTAGTAAATTCCCCCTCACAGGAGGATAAAGATACAGGAAAGTGTTCCCTCACTAATGAGCTATCACATGACTGGGAGCTGGTCCCACTAAGACTCGGAGTTGTGAAAGCTCAATGTCTGTGTTGGAATGAGATCAAGTGTGCTACTAGCCCAAAGAGAGGGGGTGTGTGTGTGTGTGTGTGTGTGTGTGTGTGTGTGTGTGTGTGTGTGT